GCGTCTATCCAAAACACTGACACAGTCGGTGCAAGGATATGACGAAGAAAGATCATAAAAAGTGTTGCCATTATTATGCCTAAAATTATCGGAATAAAAATGATAATTATGTGACCAATAGCAGAGGGCGATTCGAGTTAAAAATAAAAAAGAATTCAGAGTTATAGTACTCCATTCGATTGCGTATTTAAAGATTAACCCATTAATAAGATTGATTACAGTAATGAAGGTCAAGTAGATTAAGGTGTACAAGAATTTGATTGCGAGTTCCTAGTTTAAAATAAGAAGGAAATTGATTGAGAAATCCTAGTTTGAACTTTTTGGGAACAAACGACGAAAGAGCTAATAGAGCTTTAGTATAAAATCTTCAATAACAAATATATATATACATATATATTGTTTTAAGTAAACATACCGATTTTTTGCGCTCTTCCACTATCGTTTCCTCTCTCACTTCCGCGACCGTGTTCAAATAATTAACTTTCAAGTGGACTGGGAGGGCTTCATATAGGGTCCGCTGTGATAGAGTCAGACTAGCAAGTGTCATCTGCTGTACCCTATTCAGAATAGCGGGTGTGTCGAAATCGCCACTTTCACTCTGAGTTTCACTCGGAATTTTACTCTTATCTTTGGATGGGCCGGCAACGCTAAGTTCGATTTGTTCACTGTTAGACATGGATAAGATTGGATATGTTAATAGAAGGATAATTATATGCCAAAGATTTTGTGATTGTTGCTTTGGATCTTTTAAGCGGTTTGACGCAAGGGACCCTACAATAGAAGCACTTTCTTAAATACTTTTTGGTTAAAGGCACGTAACGGTAATCGTAATATAATAATAATTAAATGATTTATTTGATCAGGCGTGACCACGGCATTGTGTACTTTCTCACGCGTTTAAATAAAAAATAGTATATATTACAGTACTCGACATAAATGATGTGAATTTTTAGCTTTATTGTGTTTTTACCAAGAAACATCTCATCAGAAAGTTTTAAGGATTAAGAAATATATTTAAGGTTTAAATTGAATAAGTTGATTAAATCAATAAATAAAATTGTTTTTTTCGTAACATAGAAATCAAAAAATTATAAAAATTATATTATATGGTAATAAGCAAATTTATGGAATCCACCCCCCCCCCAAAGTTTGCCACGTGATAATTTTTTGATAATGTCAGTAATTATAACCAAATAAATTGCATGATTATTAAAATTGTTTATTATTCTTTTATTGTTATGTGTGATTATTACATCACTAATTATATTGTTATTGTTTTCGTGATTATCGTTATTGCATTATTATCGTTATTGTTAAATTATTTATTGCATTATTATTTTATCGAATATAAATCAGAAACTTTTTGTAGTTATAACGTTAACAAAAAATGAATGAAGAATTTTAATGATAATGAACAACTATCTGAAATCGAAGAAACCAGTACTGAAAATTCAGATAAAAATATATCAGAAGTTTGGCAATATGTTAATAAAGATAATCCCAACTGTCGTTATTGTCTGACATGCAACTATATATTCTCACCAAAAACCAGTCATCAAGTATACGAGATCACTTATATAAGCATAATCTACTAAATAAAAAAAATCAAATCAAAACACATCCTGAGAAA